CCACCACCATCATCATCACCCACCTTTTCACCTCCTCCTCCTCCTCCTCCTCCACCACCATCATCATCACCCACCTTTTCACCTCCTCCTCCTCTTCCCTTTTCACTTCCATACATGTTTGCCTACAACTCAACAAGCTTTGACATAAAACACTCAGGGAGCTTATCTCCCTGTTTCGTCTCAAAAGCTGAAATATTCCTGAAAGGTCATATTCGGCACTGCTAAACAGGAAATAAGCTCATGTGTAGGGCATGCATTGATTGTTTCACGGATTGAATGCTCACGTAACGATTCCTGTGCTGCAGACTGCAAATGAAGCACCACGACCGGCATTGCCAGTGGCGAGCACAGGATGAAATTCCACATCATGCCTTCCATCATCCTCACAAGCTGATGCATAGATCCACCCATCATTGCTACCATCATTTGCCATGTTTTACCTGGACCTAGCATAGTAATATAACACTATTTCCTCTTGTTAGTTCACGTAAGTCCTATATTGCTGCATTCATTGTTTTGTGTGTCTGCATTCTCCGAATGTTAAAGACACGAACTACGCAAGGTAAGGAACAGGTGTAAAGGGCGAATCACACTCAGCTTGAACTACTGCAGACCCCAACTAGGACCCTCCAACTACAAAACTAGAATACAATTATGGATCTGACCTCCCGTATTTACAGTGCGAAAACGCATACAATGACCAGATTATTGTCCATCAGAGCACATAGAGCAATTGAAGGAGTGAGTGGAACAGGCGTATAGCATTGCACTTTGCAAATTACCACCCCACTAATGATGAACTTATAACTCAAATTTTAGCTAAAAGAAGTGGATCTCAAGTTCTACCCTCTGTAGAGCAGGCAGAGCCCAAGTGATAAAAGTGACCTCATTCATAAAATTCATATTTCAATACTCTTGAACCGTATTCAACTTGTCCCCCTCCAAATAATGACAAACTTGTCCTCCACCTTTCTGAGATGGTTTCGGGGATGCGAATAGTTATTTTGTGTAGGTTTTGTGATTATACTTCGAAATTATCATGATTTATGCATAAAAATATACCTTACGAACGATAGTTGGGCGCTCCCATTCCTTCCAAGCACATTGTCACCTCGCTACTTAAATGGCGTATCAGCGGACAGGCAACTGTTAAAAGCCAGCCATGACTACAGGTTCTTAGCTTACTTCAGATTTTGGATTGTGTGCCATCTGTCATGCAATTCATGGACACGCTAGTAAGCAATTTCAACCCCTCACTGTACCGAGTTCCCTGATTCGCCAGAAAAAACTACTTTACCACTACCTTTTGACCCCAAGTGAAAGCCCTACTGGTGGTTAGTAAGTCGAATTTTTATTTACATGAGCGATGACTGCCTTTCTGCAGATTGCCGCCGTGCGCCAGTGTCTGGGACCAATGGAATTATCTGACACTGACATTTGTAGTGCGCTGCATTTCGTCCGCTCCGAACAAGCCCATACACCCTTCTACTTCGTCCGTCCACCACCTGAGGCTAACTCTGAGACCCCTACAGAATGGCATCATAAGACAGCGGCTCAAATGCTACAACTAAGACAAATCTACGCCTCCGCAATACAATACACGTTGCAACAGTGCTTCGAAGCCCTCAATGATGCCGACTGGAACCTCGAGGAGGCCCTAATTCGTCTGCCTTGGACGGAAGATTAAGCATCGCCATGCCATACAAGTGCTAAGCATTTCAAAGACTACCGATTACACATTAATTCAGAGGCAAATTACACCAATACATGTGTTAT